GTTTTTTTTTTTTTTTTTTTATTGTTGTTGTGATTTTTGGGGGTGGGGTGGGGTGGGAGAACATTGCATTACAGTTACTTTATCCGCCCTCCCAACGCCTGTGTTTTAGACGGTCTTGGTCTTGCTGTGTTGCCTATTGCCTCAGTGTCCCAGCTGGGCTGCAGGCCTGCCAGCACCTCAGGTGTTTTTCAGGTGGGTTCTGACCTCGCCCCTGCCTGCCTCGGGCTCCGTCCTCCTCTGCCCCTGGGGCCTTAGGGTTGCAGGCGCTGCCAGACCTGGGACCTTAGGCTGGACCGGAAGCCAGCCCGGGCTCCCATAGAGGATCATTTTCTTTTCCAGATATTTTATTATTCCTGTATAGAAATGCCACCAATTTATGTGGATAATTTTGTATCCTACAACTTTACTCAATTCTTTTATTAGTTCTAACCGTTTTTTTGATGGAGTGTTTAGAATTTTCTGTGTCTGTATAAAATGATGTCAGCAGCAAACAGGCGATTTTACTTCTTCTGTTCTCACTCGGATGCCTGCTTGTCTTCTTCCTTTCTTCCTCACTCTCTTTTCCTGCCTTCCTTCCTCATTTCTTTCTTTCTTTTCTTCCTCCCTCCCCCTTTCTTCCCTCCCTACTTCCCCTTTTTTTTTGTTTTCCTTTTCTTTCCAATTGCTTTGACCAAGACTTCCCAAATTGTGTTGAAAGAAATAGTGAAAATGAGCATCTTCATCTTATTTCTGACTTTAGAGGAAACGCTTTCACGTTTTTTCTCATTTGAAATCATGTTGGCTGTGGCTTGTCATACGTGGTCTTTATAGTGTTAAGGAACATTTCTTCTGTATTTACGTTGTTGAGAGTTTTCATCCTAAAAGGGTATTTAACGTTGTCAAATGTCCCCGCGTGGGCCTTTCTCCGCTCTGACGACAACCTGGACCCCGCTATTGATTTGTGCTGAGCTGTCCTGGCACCCTGAGGTCAGCCCCAGCCCCAGAGCTGTGCTGAGCCAAGCGAGCCTTCTGAGGTGTGGAGAGCCGCACGGAGGACCGTCCTGAGGACTTCCAGCTGAGTTCATCAGTGACTTTGGCCCCTTGGCTCATTTTCTTGCAGTGCCCTTGTCCGGCTTTCGAATAGTGTAACGCTGGTGTTGGGAAATGAGTTTAGAAGTATTTCTTCCTCTTCAGTTTTTTGGAAGCCTTTGAGAAGAATTGGTATTAGATTTTTTGTTGTTGTTGCCAGAGGGCGGAGGCTCTGGCAACACTTACCAGAGTGAGGAGGCTCCCGATGGCGCACGCTTAGGCTACAGTCCTTCCCTTCCCACCGGGTGAGGAGAAGCAGACCTTCAGGTCTAACTGGGGACAGAGAGCTTTCGGACCAGGTCTGGTGTCTCACATAGCACCCGCCCTCAGTCACCAACTCCCACCATGGCTCTCTCTCTTTTTTGTTTTTTCTTTTTTTGAAGAGGTTTTTTTTCTATAGGGTGCATGCGCTCGCCAGCCAGCCAGAGAGAGACAGAGAGCCAGAAAGCGAGAAATCACCCCCCAGGGGGGATGGCCACGCCGCAATCCCTTCTCCTCCATTCTCCTCTCGGGATCTTGGGCATGCACGCACACACACCCGGCATCAGTTTTAAGACACCGGGCCCGGGACTCGAACTGCGGTCAACTACATGGGAGTCCAGTGACACTGCCATTATGCCAACTGCTGGTCCCAGCCTCCATAACTCTCTTAATGGACATATGTGTTCTAAATTTTAGGAGTTTTTGTCTTCACTGTTGTTTTAGTTCATCATTGCATTGTTAAATCAGACTGGGCAGATTATTTTTTCTTTTTCTTTTCCTTTCTTTTTCTCCTTTTTTTAAAGAGGTTTTTGCCTCAGGGTGCATCCTCTCAACAGAGACAGACAGAGACAGTGAGAGGGAAAATGAGAAATCACCCCCTAGGGCAAATAGCCACACTACAATACCTTCTCCTTCATTCTCCTCCCAGGATCTTGGGCACGAACCCACATGTACCCAGAGTGAATTTAAAGCCACCAGGTCCAGGACTCAGACTGTGCTCGGCCACGTGGGAGTCCAGCAATGTAACCGCTACACTATTTACTGCCTCCAGCCTGGGAAATTCATAAAGAAGGTCTACTTGGCTCACAATTCTGGAAGGTTCAAGAGTTTGGTGCTGGCCTCTGTCTGCCTCTGCACTGTCTGTGCTGTATCAGGAACGTCAGGGAGGGCTGGGACCATCCCGGGACTGACGTGCTCCCACAGAGCGGGGACGCTCTCCCTCCTATGGAGGTGGTGCTTCCATGGCCTTCCTTGCCTGGTACATGAGTTTTAGGGCACATTCAAACCACAGCACCTGTCACTGCATGAACAGCAGTACTGTCGGTGACAGTTGTGTTAATACGATCTTGTGAGGCCTCTCCATGTGCTCGGAACCACACCGTTGCCCAGCTGCTCTCCGCCGCGCCCCCAGAAAAGTCCTATGGTGAAGTCCTAACCCCTAGCACTTCAGAATTTGACTGAATTTGGAGATGGGTTTTTAAATTATTATTATTTTAATTGACC